AAGCACCAGGAATACGGGCCAAATATCAGGACATCTCACTGCAGAGCTCTTTGTTCATGTCATTGCCAACTAGTTCAGCCCGAGAAAGAAGTGTGACAATCGAACTAAAAGCGAGAACATGCAAAAAGTGGATCTAACGTCGCTAGGCAATGCTACATTACCTCTCCATCTGCTCTGTCTCAGCCCTAGCTATCTTTACCATCCTGCTGTTGGAGCAGGAGGGAGCTAGCCTATATTACTAGCCAATCAGAGATTGGCATCCATCCTGCCATCTGCCTCTCTGCCCAGCTGTCCACTTGCGCACACACACATGGGCGACAAACAAAATAACCCACCCTAGCCATCAACCTAGGTTCGGCCAATCCCCGGCCTGCTCCCAACCATTGCCATCAACCGCCAGTTGGCACCAAACCCGCGAGCTGCTGCCGCCAGCTAGCTCCACCTCCTACCATGCTGTCCCTGATAGCAGCTTCCCCACCCGCCCTTCCCCGTCTTCTATCCCGTTACAGTTCCTTCCTCGCCCGTATTACTATTTACAAACATTTACATGATGTACATTAATGTCCCCTTCCTGTCTGCATTTCTCCGTGGACGCAATCCACTTAGATATTCCTACAGCTGTTGTGTAACTTTGCCTTGCTCTCCTGTAGTCCTGTCGTGTAGACCGTTCCTCCCATCCCCTCCCACGCGAAGTTGCGAGTCACCTCCCCGCTTGGCGCCTCTCTCTAGCCCTGCTTGAACCAGGCCTTCTCATGCCCCCTCCCGTGCTCTGCCGCTGCCCTCGCTTGAGTCACGGGACCCTGATAGCCCGAGATGCTAGCCCCTCCTCGTGGCAGTGGCTGCTGGTCTCCAAGGCCCCCTTCCTTCACTTCCGTTCCCCGAGCCTTCGGTAGCCGGGCCACATTCGTGGCGTGATCCATCATGCGTCGCCCTTTGTCATCCTCCAGCACAATCACACCCGACTCGCACACCTCATTCACTGTCTATCGCTTGTGTGTGACTCCCATGTCCAGGGCATCCCCCTTCATTCGGCGAAGGTACACTTCCTCCTCCACCTGCAGTGCCAGCGCATCTCCTTCCTTGCTCTGTTGCTGCCACTGCGTGTAGCGGTGGATGTCTCTCAGCTGAGCCACCTTCAGATTCTCCAGCGCTGCTGGCAGTAGGCTCTCCAGACCCACGAGCTGCCGATGCGGATGACGCCCCTCTCGACCTCTCTCGCAACACACTACGACAAGAGGGGACCATCAGGACCCTTGCGGATCCACAAGTCGATGGCGACTCAGACAATGACGTGTAAGAGGTCATTGAAGGCGTGAATCGTTCCACCGGCCTCTTTGGCCTCCATTCCTCGGTCTCCATGCAGCAGTTCACCAGGGCCCCTCCGTGCTTGAGCCAAAAACACCTCGTCAGGCCCCCACAGGACCCCACCGCGACAAATGGCGAAAGGCCATAGACGTTGAACTCGCCGCGCTTCGCTCCTGAGATACCTGGGTCCTAGTGGACCGCGAAGTAGTGAAGGGGAGGAAGATTCTATCCAGAAAATGGGTCTACCGTGACAAGATGAACACTGAAGGAAATATCGCACTCTACAACGCACGATGGGTCGTACGAGGCTACGACCAACGCCACGGCGACGATTCCATCTACAGTAACCTTCGCCCTTGTCAGCCGCCACACCTCTGTGCGCATTCTCCTCGCCATCGCCACATGTCGGCACCTGGAACTCGAACAGATCGACGTTAAGAACGCGCTCCTATACGCAACAGTCGACGCTCTAATTGTTGTCGAGCAACCACACACCAAGGCAACGAGAACCCTCGTGTACGTTTATTTCCTTTACGGGATCAAACAGGCACCACGCCTCTGGCAACAGCAACTGCACGACATTCTGCTCGACATTGGCTCCATCCAGCTAGCACATGACCCCGGAATGTACCGCCTCCACTACCGCAGTGACTACGTCTATAGTGGCACCAACCCAGACCTGCCCGATCAGTTCGAGCGAAGCCTGGGAGAACGCGTCGACATCACCACCTCCAAGACTGTGACTCAATTTATTGGCCTCAGCATCTCCTATCTGCCTTAAGCCATCCACCTCTCCACATTAAAATATGCCGAGACCCTTGCCAAGGGGAGAACCTCCTTGACCTACAGCGAGCTCTCCTATATTTCATTTCAAGTCCCAACATTGGCCTCACCTACTCCACCATCACTACACCTTCATTCCAACTCACAGGATACGTCGGCGCAGGTCATGTCATAGACCCCGCTAATCGACGATCCTGCACATGTTTTCTTTTCTGACTGGAACCTATCGGACCTATCTCCTAGAACTCCTTCGTCAGTCACTACCTCCCTGCATGCTCCGAACTGTGTCACCACCATCTCCTCAAACGCCTTTGATACTCCTGTTGCCGCCTTGTTTACTAGTGCCTTCACCTCCTCCCACTTGCAGGTATGCTCTATCATGAGCACGATGTACCGCCTGCCCCTTCGGCTGACTGGCAGCTCCTTATCCAGGTCGAGCGACCACCAGTACCCTAGTCCGACGATGGGCAGCTGACTCAGGGCCGCTTTCTCTCTTTCCAGCTTTGCTCAATTCCTGATGCATGCCTCACACAGCTCCACGCACTCCTTGATTTCGTTCCGCAAGCCGGCCCACCACCAACCCGTCTAAACCAGCTGCTGCATTCGCAATGGCTCGTAGTGCCCCAGCTTGTTACTGTATATATTTCCCTAATGATCCCGATGCGCTCTTCAGGGTGTGGGACCCGCTTCCAGCCATCCCTCGTCCGTAGCTACAGCTGGCCCAGGAACAACCTATAGTGCTGCCCGCGTAACCTTGCCCGCTCACTGACTCGTGCAACTTTTGTAGTTTCTCCCTTGATCCACCGTAGAACGTCCGTATCCACTGTTGTCTCCCTTTTCTGATCCTTTTCTGCTGTTCCCTTTCCTTCGGCTTCCTTTGCCATCAGCATCAGACCCACCGATGGGCATTCCTAAGGTGGGTGTTGATGCAACCCCATGGCTTGCACTCAGCTTGTCATCCTTGTTCATGTGTGTGCATGCATGGCATGGAATGAATTGTGAGTCTATGGCATTGCTATCTAATGCTTGTGTGTGTGTGCTTGAATGATGTATCACAATGTGGTTTGTGTCGGTCAAGACATTAGCGAGTTTTCACTACTCCCATCTCAATTCGTCGTTTGCGCATCGCATGTGTTTTCCTATTTTGTCGAGTGTGAATTGTCCATCGCATTGCAGGTGTGTGCAGCAAGCCCTCCTGAACTCAAGAAGAAGTTATCTTAAAGAACCAAGGCCAAGAGCTCAAGATTTCAAGCCCAAGGGACATGGATAAACAATAAAATAGTGAAAATAGTAATGCTGCTTTGTGTAGTGTTACGTTTCACTTGATGTAGCCCCTTGTTGGGTTAATTTCGAGTCTCTTCGTGGTTAGAGACTCTGTGGTGGTGTACCACTAACCTGAACCTCGACTCTTGGGGTTTGTAGAGGCTGGGAACCATCTCAATCTCAATTCTTCTTGCTAAGTTTGTACTTCTAAGACTATAGTGGCTGCTGTACCTCCTGCCGGTCAAATCGTCATAGCGTCATCAAATCGTCATGAAATTTAATGATTCAATTTGTACTGAGTGTCAATAGCAACACGCTCTAGATCTCACAGCTTAGCGTTTGAGGCATAGATGAGTTCGGTCTCAATATTTGAAGCGAACTGACGGAAATCCTACTGTGCACTTTATCTTTCATTTTAGGCGCTTTTAAGCCTAGTGTGACTATAACAGTGGGTTCCACGACAGACCATCGACGTATTGCATGGTTTTACCCAGGCGGTTCTTCACTTGGAATTCATACTTATGCAGCTTCATTTCCCAGCGTGCGTTCCTGCCAGTCAGTGCTTGGTTTTGCATGAGGCAGAGCAGTGGCTGATGGTCTGTCACAAGTGTGAATGGTCATCCTTGCAGGTACACCCTGAAGTGCCCTATCGCCCACACCGTCGCCAACCAATCGCCTTTATAGGATGAGTTGTTCGCCTCCGCCGCGTTGCAGCTGCGGCTGGCGAAGGCGGCCACCCGCTCCTGCCCGTCTACCTGCTGGCTAAGTATAGCCCCCATGCTTGAGTCTGTATACAGCACGTATGGCAGGTATTTTTCGCGGTAGTTCCAGGACCACTCCTTCCTTGACTGCTCCGAGTAGGTCGGCTGCTGCCTCCTTCTGCTCATCCCCCCATTCCCACTTCTGGTCTTCTCTCAGAAGCATGTTCAGTGCCGCGACTCGCTTGCTGAAGGTCGATATAAACTTGCGGTACTAGTTCAGGAATCTCAGCAATGCCCTCAACGTGCCATGGTCCTAAGGTGCTGCCACTCTTTCCAGCACTTCCACCTTGGCTCTCTGTATGCCCAGCTTGCCTCGGTCACCTCGAAGCCCAAGTAGTTGACTGACTTGTGACCGAACCGGCACTTGCCCGGGTGACAGGTCATTCATACTGCCACAACGGCTGCTAGCGTCTGCTCCACATCCTGCAAGTGCGCTTCCTTACTTCCACTGAAAGATGATCACGTCGTCTATTAGCATGTTGCTGCTGCCACCCCTCTTAGCGCTGCATCCATGGTGCGCTGAAAGACCGCTAATGCATTCCTCAACCCAAACGGCATATGGTTCCATTTGAATAGCCCGTCCACCCCATGGAACGCGGTCTTACGTCTGTCTTCTTCCGCTAGAGGGATTTGATTGGAGCCCTGTCTCACATCTAGCGTCGAGAAGAGTTGCGCGCTCTGCAGCTGGTCAAAAGTCTCGTCTACCATGGGGGTGGGGTACCTGTCCACGGCTCACCTTGTTCAGTTCGCGGTAATACCCGCACATCTGCCTCGAAAGTACTTCCCTCGCCAGATCCGTGCGCGCAGCTACCACTGTGACTGCTGCGTAGTCCGAGATTGACGGTCAGTTAAGTCCGGCTGCTAGCAATTCACTGCACTTCTTGTTGGTTAGAGAATGCTATAAGCAGATGATTCAATGGCTCCTTGGAAATTTCTGCAGCACTTCGTTATGACGCCCAGAAAACTCGCGACCTTCGAAAAGCTATATCCAAATCTCCAATAGGTGAAACAATATGAAAATCGGATATGTTGTAGCTTACAGCGTCACATTTCTACGGCAAGTTGAATCACTTGATTCCGTAGCTTAACGAGTGATCTATGGCGTTTGGCGCACTGGGGGGTAATCTGCCCTAGGAGAAAGTGACAGTCCTCAGAGTCACTATAATTGAAGCTTACAAGTTCAGAGGCATGATGGAAAAGGCATTGAAGCACAGTTGGAAGGAGGGGTAGAAAGGGAAGGATGAAAGGGAAGGACCCTGGAGGCCCATGGTCAAGAACATGACAAGAGTCAAAGTCTTGACTCCCCATCCTCAGGTTCAGCCAGCCTGGCAAGACAAAATTCACACTGTGCCAGGTTGGCCTCCAAACCCCAAATGCTGCAGCTGCAAGGTGGGGACAAAAGTCCCACACATGCTGGTCCCTCCTCGTTATAGGGCTATCCAACTTTGGTGTAGCAGCTGACAAGGACTTCCAATGAGTTGTAACAAATCCATCAAACATTTCTTCGTAACTTCTTCATATGTGCTCCGATTCCAACAATTCTTGGCTCGTTGGAATGTGCTCGATGTCATGCACAATCCAAGCACATCTGCACAAGCACAAGATGAACATGCAAAGACATGCAAACCCAACAAACCATACAAACAATGTAGCACACAAAACACATGCAACGAGATGATGCGAACAGACGAGGGGATAACGTGCAAACGAATGTGCACCAACACTTCTCCATGCAAATTGCCATCGGGCTCATTCGCCTTCGCCGTTGGTACACCGGTATCTGAGTCGTCAGAGGAAGGCGCATGGTCATTGTGGTGCATGTGCCCAGTTGGTCGAAGTTGTAGGCGAAGCTAGTTCGATATCGGCCTAGTAGCTCTTTCATAGCCTTTCGCCCCGCTGGAGTCATGGCTTCCCCTATGTCCCACTTCGCCACTTTCTCCGCCCCCGTCATCGCTCCGTCCGGTCCATTATTCCCCTCTACTGGCTGGCCTTGCTCTGCTTCTTCCTTCGTCTCCTTCTCAAGCATTCCTTCGCTTTTGGTGCCCCCCCACCTTTCTTCAGTCCTTACTCCCGAGTGTTCCTTCCTCTGCCTCAGCGCGATGTAGCCGGCTTTTGCCTCGTTGTCCATCCAGTCGGCTTCCCCTGCATGCCTTGCATGCCTTGCCCCTTCCTGGCTCGCTAGTAGCCCTGGCATTCCCACCCCGCCACCACCAAGTCTATGTGACCCCACTGCTCCAGACACCTCTGATCGACCTTCCTCACGTCATCGCACCTCCACACTGCTCCAGATTCTACAGTACTGCTTCTGTGGTGAACTGAGATTGGTATATTTCGTGAAGCAGTTGTATATGATGCCAGGCCATGCAGTTTGCGGCTGGGTTGGTTCGACGTAGATGTACTTCTCGACTGTGAGCCCGGCCTTCAGCGCGGCTGCCAGTCCAGTTGCTATCCCCCCGAAGAGCTCTAGCAGCACTGTCGGCCTTTGTAACATCTTGGTGTCGAGGCAGCGCTCGCGTAAGTCTAGGTTCGTCCCCCATCATTCCATCCTCTCTTCCCTGCCAGCCTTCACTGCTTCATAGTTGTGCCAATCCCAGATTCCCAGTTCTGTGGCTCTTGCAGGGGTCACCGCCAGAAACGGTTCCCTAGGTTCTCGCTTGATGAAGCATACTGGCAGCTGCCCAACTGGCCCCTGCTTCTCCCAAGAGTGCACTCGGCAGGTCATGGTTTCCTCCCACATGCATATGGTCGCACCTATCTTATAGAGGAATTCCACTCCCAGCAGCAAGTCGTAAATTTCTAACGGTGATACCTCGCACCGCATCCTGATGGCACACTCCCCTCTCTCTCCTGGTTGCAGTACGATCTCCACTGTTCTCTGCGTCTTCGGCATCCATTTCGCTGCTTCAGTTTCTCAGCCAACTATTTCCCAATTAGAATGTGGCAAGAGCCTGGGTCTACGATGGCCTGCTTTGCCGGTATTTCACCCACTGCTACCAACCCCGCCTCTACTATGAGCACCGATGCCTGACAGCTGAGGCGTTCTAGCGGGTGTCGGCGTGCCTCTGTCCCTTGGTTCTCTGTTGCTGCCACTTCTTGTCTCCATGGCACAGCTTCTCCTCTGGGTTGCCTTGAATCGTGATATCTTCCCCCGCTCTGCAATCCCAACTCCTCTCGCTCTCTCGCAGGCTGAGCCATCAGCGCAAACTCCTCCTCACTCCCTCCTCCTCCTCTAGTGCAAACAAGGCAGGCTGCTTCCATTCTCCTCCTTCCAGCTCCGCCTGCTGCTGTTGTAGTCTACAGTATCAATCTCCACCCGTATTTCTGCCACTCCACTCTTGGTGCCCCCCCCCTTTCGTTGTGGATAGCAATCAAGCTCCTTATGCCCACGCTGCCTGCACTTCGTGCATGTCGGTGACTCAGGGCAATCTCAGCAGAGATGGTCGGTGTCTCCGAAGATTGAGCAGACCGGCAGAATACGACAGTCGCGCCGAAAGTGTCCCAAATGTCCACAGTTGTGATACTTGCGATTCTCCCCGCCTCCCCTTCCTACTCCTTCTGGATCCACTGCTGCTGCCGCCCATGCGGGCCTCCTGTGGTCCGCCTGTCTCTCCACTTGTCTATCGGCTTCAAAGAGCCAACGTCCTGTTTCCACACGCCGGGCCACCTCATAGGCTTCGCACAGCGTAGCGCCAAATCCACAAATCGAAGATCTTGCTCCGCACATCTTGCTGCAGCTTTGGGTTCAGCCCCGCCAGGAATTTCATGATCAGCCGTCCTTGATCGTGGCTCTACATGTCTTCCCCGAGTTGAACTAGCCTTCCGTTATAGGCCAGTAAGGATTCTTCGTTATGCCTCCTGAAGTCTCGGAACTCTCGCAGCTTGTTCTGGCATCTGCAAGGGGAACTGCTCCTTCAGCATCAGTAGAAATTTCTCCATTGGATCCCTCTCCCCTGGTGGCGCCTCTCCCGCCCAGTGCAACAGCTCGCCACGTGAGATCCAGTAACAGGTCTCTACTTCTCCTGTCAGCGTGTTGGCCAGACTGTCATAGGATCGAATGTGTCGAGGAAAAGTTCCACTATCGATTGATACAAGGCGCATTTATACTTCCAAGGTACATCAGGTAACCAGGTTTATCCTGTCCATAGGGAATAGACCCTTCTAGAAATAGAAGCACCCTGCGTATAGCCACGCGAGGCTATTGGCTTTAAGGGATAACAGCAGGATTACGTTAGATATAGCGCGCCAGTACATCCCGAGCCTGGTCGGTGATATAATTATAATAATAGGATAAACCAAATGATAATGAAAAACTGAGGAATAGGAATCCAAATGAGATGAGATAAAGAGCAAAGGAATCAGGATAAAAAGAAGAATGAGATGAAGGAGAAAGATGAAAATGAGAAAGGAGTGTAACGGGGTCGTGCTCTCACACTTTCCCCCCTCAAAGCTGGGTGGTAGAAGGAACACCCTTATTGACAAGGTAGTCGCGAAGAGGACGACGTCGTACTCGGGTTCATCGTGGATGAGGACGGGAGGCGGTGGCGGCGGTTGGCGTCTGGTGAAGACCGTGTTAGGATAGCAGTAGGGCTTCAGAAGTTGGACATGGAAGGCGTTGTGAATCTTCCAAGTAGCTGGCAGGCGTAAGCGGAAGGTAACAGGAGTGACCTGTGCTTCAACGAGAAAGGGCCCGCAGAAGCGAGGTCGCAGTTTGGATGGGAGATGACGCGTGTTGAGGAGCACCTGGTCTCCCACGGTGATGGTGTCGTCGTTGCCATGGCGATCGGCCTGGCGCTCTGTTGCTGCTGAATTTCGAGGAGACGCTTGTGGGTCCGATCCCAAAGCTGCTGTATGTTGGACTGTGGCTGTTACTGTTGGTTTCTGTAGCGTGAGCGGGTTGCGTCCATAACAGAGGAAGAACGGCGTCTGTCCAGTAGCGGCGTGAGTGGCATTGTTGTACGCAAACTCTAGGACAGGTCAATGCAAGTCCCACTTAGAAATCTTGTCCTTGCATGCTACGCGGAGGAGTTGCTCTACAATTTGGTTGAGGCGCTCGGTCTGTCCATCTGTCTGCGGATGGTAGGCGGATGACATGGCGAGTTCGGTCCCGAGCAGAGACATCAGTTCCTTCCAGATTTGCTGGTGAACTTGGGGTCTCGGTCGAAGATGAGTGTGGTTGGAATTCCATGCTGTGAAATAATGTAGCGAACAAATAGTTGTGCTGTCTTCTCCGTGCGTGCTGTCGTGTGTGTCCGGATAAAGTTTCCCATCTTGGAGAATTTGTCGATGACGATGAGGATTGCGTCATGACCGCTTGTGGTAGTTGGTAACCTGGTGATAAAGTCCAGGCTCACCACTTGCCATGGTTGTTCTGGGACAGGAAGAGGCTGTAGCAGTCCTGCCTTTTCTGCTTGCTGCTCTTCATTCGCTGACATGTGTCGCAAGAGGTGACGAATTTCTGTACATCACCTGCCATGTGGGGCCAGTAGTAGTGCTTTGCAATACCGAAGTGTCGTGCGTATAGAGAATCGTGGTATTCTTCGAGTAGTAAGTGGCGCAAAGGAGGGTAATTGGGTACCCAGATTTTTGTTGACCCTTTCTGGTACGTGATGTCACTGTCCCACTGTAGCAGGTGTCGCCTTTCTGCCAAGGGAATTTCGGGGTCAATGGTGTACCCGTGTGTGAAGAGCCCCTTGAGTAGTGGGTTCATCCCTTCGACATGGAAATCGGCAACGTGTGCAGGCCGGCTAAGAGTCTGTGATTTGTTTTTGTGGCCAGGCTTGTACACGATGTCGTAGTGGAAGTGTGTCTCGAGAAAGTCGATCCACCGGACCTGCCGCCTGGAGAGGGTCGGTTGTGTCTTCAAATATTTCAGGCTGCAGTGGTCTGTGTAGACGATTGATTTTCGTCCTTCGAGATAACATCTCCACGTTTTGAAGGTGATGATAATAGCAAGGGCTTCTTTGTCGTGTATCGGGTAGTTGAGTTCTTCCCCATGCAATTTTTTGCTGAGGTAGGCGATTGGTTGCTGTCCATTCCCCTGGTCTTGCATCAAGACTGCTCCCACCGCCTGGTCGCTAGCGTCACCTTCGATGACGTAGTCGTGTTCTGGGTCTGGCAATACGAGTACGGGTGCGTATGTGAGTGCTTGTTTCACCTGCTCCACGGATTCCTGGTGTTTTGGAACACATACATATAGGGGGTGTTCTTCTTCAGCAGATTCGTGAGTGGCGTTGCGATTTTCGCGTTCTGTGGCACGAACCTGCTGTAATTTGTTAGCGAAGCCTAGGAACAGCTGCAACTCCTTCATGTTCTCGGGTGTCTTCCACGTGCGTACGGCTTCGATTTTCTTGGGGTTGACGTGAATTCCTTGAGTGCTCACCATGTCTCATAGGAACTGGATATTCTCGAGGGCGAATTCGCTTTTGGATAATTTGACGAAGAATCGTTCTCATCGAAGAATGTCAAAGACACGCTGCAGGTGTTCGACGTGCTGCTTCATATCGCGCGAGTAGATGAGGATGTCGTCCAGGTACACCACCACGCACTTGTCCAAGAGTGGGCGTAGAATGTGGTTCATTTCAGCTTGGAAAGTTGCCGGTGCGTTGGTGAGTCCGAACGGAATCACCAGATACTCGTACGATCCATACCGAGTTTGGAAGGCAGTTTTGTGGATGGAATTGTACGCCATTCTTATCTGCCAGTATCCGGACCGCAAATCCAGTTTGGAAAATATCATCGCTCCCCGAAGTTGGTCAAGCAGGTTATCGATTCATGGAATTGGGTATTTGTTCTTGATGGTCTGCTTGTTGAGAGCTCGGTAAACGATGCACATGCGCAGGCTTCCGTCTGGTTTCGTTGTGACGAGTACTGGGGCACCGTATAGCACTGGATGGTCGGATGAGTCCTTTGGCGAGGAGAAACTCGATCTCTTTCTTCATGTCGGCTAGCTCAGTGGGGCTGAGCCGATATGGTGCTCGGAGGGTCGGCTTCGAACCTGGTTCCTCTACGATCTCGTGTTGGTGTGTTCGGTATGGTGGTAGCTCGTTCGGAAGGTCCTCATGAATGTCTTGGAACTCCTTCAGTAATTCCTTGATTTTTTTCTGGAGGTTCCGATGTTTTCTCTTCGTTATCTTCCGCATCTGCTGCTATCGCTAGGAACCCAGTGATGGTTCGTTCCACGTCCTTCTCGAACCTTGCGAGTGTCTCCACTGGGATATCTCCTGTATCGTCCCAGTTGGGTAGTTGGACCCATCTTCCGTTGTTATAGATGCTTGCGGTGCGGTTTACCCAGTTGTGCTTGGGGTTGAATTTTATAAGGAAGTCTCGTCCGAACATCAAGTCAAGCCCTTTTATGTTGGTGATGGGGAGTGCAAGTTTCCAGAGCAGTGGACCGATTTGTATGTGTAACACTGCTTCGCCATATACTGGTAACTTGCTGCCGTCCACCATCGTTGCAGAGAATGCTGAAGGCTTGTACTCTTCCCGAAGTCGGTCGATTGCTGCCTTGTCGCATACGGTGTGTGACGCTCCGCTGTCCACGAGTGCTTGGAGGCGTCGTCCTTTGCAGATGACCTCGAGCACGAGGGGCGGTTGTTGCTTAGAGTACCCAAAGATAGTTTCATTGATCGGATCATAGAGTACACCTTTCTGTTACTATCTATTTCGCTGCTGGCCGAGGCTGCTTGCACAAAGGCTCTTCTCCAGGGCCAAGAGTCTCCTTGACGACTGTATGCGTCATTGATGCCAAAGTTGCTGAGCGGGATGCACCTGAAGGAGGAGTTTGGGGTTTTTGCAACTTCTTGTAGACCCCCAGCTTCCCCTTCAGCTGCTTCAGCTCCACCAACATCTTCCCTTGGGAACGGGTAATCGTTGTGGGCTGGTGTCGGGAGAGGACGTTGACTCAGTGGATAGGTTGGCTTCTTTCCACACTCCTTAATTTTGTCCCCAAGTTCTCCGATACCGGTACCATCTCCAAAACTTTCCGCCTATTCTGGAGCCCCTCCCGAAATTTCTCCAACGCTCTAGCCCCTCGAAAATCATAAGTTTTCATAAAAGCATCTTTTTAAGATACCTTTAATGAATCCATATAATTTCTTGGGTCTTCTAGGAGTTTCCCCGTCTCGGCAGAGTACTTTTTCGCGGAGTCGCGGCGATTTTTCCTGGCGAAGACTGGTCGTGGGTTGGAGATTTTCCCCCATCATTTCCTCCCGCTCGCGTCGAATCAGCTTCGTCGAAGTTGATGTTAGAAATAGATTGCAAATCCTACTTTTCTATTTGTACTGTTATATCCTAGTTGAGGTTATCAATGTTCTGGTGGGTTGGGGTGTACTCACAAATCCCAACCTCACCCAATTGTGATCCCCCAATCTCCAATTACCCAATTGGAGATTCCAGAGATCCCAATGAGGATTCCCCCCGATTCCCCCTTCATCCATTCTCTCTCACCTTGCCATGTACTTATAGAGCCTTGGGCTCCTTACCTAATAAATCATTTCAGCTCTATTTCTTATATGGTATCGGAGCGACCTATCCGCACACGCGGATAAAGGTCCTAATCTTAACGTGCCCGCGCTACGCACACCTCATTGTCGCGACATTCATCTCGAGCCGTCGGAATTTTCGACGTGATCCACTCTGCAGTGGCGCCTCTCATCGTCGACCGCCTTCGAGCTTGACCTCTTTGAATCTCTCATCTCTGAAGCTTTTACGCTTCTCATCGTCGATTTCTTCATCGGTTCTCCTTGGTCGAATCTCAATTTCGACCATCTCTTAAAACTCGTTTTCGAGTTTCCTCTCCGACCCCGCCAGCATAGGCGAACTCCCCTCGCGGAATCGCCTCCATGAACATCTCACGTCAAGCAAGAGCAGGTACACAGGTGGAAGCGGAGCGGAGCTGGTTGCGGAGCTGGTTGCGGAGCTGGTTGCGGAGCTGGTTGCGGAGCTGTGTAGCTGCGGGACAGGGCCTGGGGGTGTGTAGGGGGGTGTGTGGGTCCGGGGTTAGTTTAGTTTCAAGTCGGTGTTTAAACAAATTCCCGCCGACGCCATTTCCTTCTTAGCGGCATTTCGGCGAAGCCGTCTAAGTGATTTTTCAGCAATTCTCGTCTAAGTGCCGCGCTACGCACCAAGGTTCTTCTCGGTGACTTATGAGCATCACCTCGCGAAAATCAAACAGAAATGGCTTACTCAACCACTTCACTCGCCAACCCGATCCCGCTCCTTCGTCTCAAGCCGGACGGCACATGCTCCAACTACAAGGCTTGGCGCTATGGTGTCGACAAGCACCTCCTCAGTCGCGAGGTGAAGGGGCTCGAGCTCACCGACGTCCTTCTCAACATTGGTGATGACAAACAGCCTCCTAAACCCGAGAGGTCCGCCGATCCAGCTAATGCCCCCGCCGAAGCAGTTTATGCTGCTGCACTGCTCAAGTACAAAAATTGGGAGAAGGCCGATGGTGCGGTCATTAGTGTCTTCATGGGCACCACTCCTCCCGAACTCGTCGAAACCTACCACAACTACCCGTCTGCCAACTCCATTTGGCTCTACCTCGAAGACCGCTTCCTGAACAAGACTGCAGTGGGACTTGCTATATGTTCCAAGTGCGGCTCGATAACTCGCCAGGCATGGCAGACAATGTCACCAAGGTGCAGTCCATTCATGGTGAACTCAAGCAGTTGGGGATAGTCTTCCCCGAGCAAGCCCCTGCAGCCGCTCTCCTAGTCGGCCTCACTCTGGCATACGAAGTCACACGCAAGATGCTCTTGGGCCTTGCTCCTGCGGACCTCACATTTGCCAAGGTCTCATCCGCGCTCCTTTCTACCAAAAAGGACAACAGCTCTCAAGCCAAGGCCAATGCAATCCGCGCTCCCGTGCCTCAATCCTATGCCACTTCGGCGCCATTCCAGCACAACCGCTTCCCCCCGTGTCCCTACGTCATCAAGCGCGGCCCTCGTGCCGGCCAGGTGTGTGGCGACACCAACCACGCCCTTGCCTCCTGCTTCTAGAAGAAGGATGACGAGTGGTATGCCATCAATGGGACCGCCTCGAAGCCGCCAAGCTGGATGGTCAATCGTGCTCCTCGCAAGGTCAATCAAGTCGAAGCGCAGGAATCCGTGCAGGCTGCTGTAGCTCCCCCTGCTGATGTGCGCCTCAACATGTTGTTCCGTGGCACTGCCATGATTAATGAGACAATTTCGCAGTGTCCCGGCTCACAAAGCACCTCAGCCACAATTGAGTTCACCGTCGATAGTGGGGCCACTCACACGGTTCTCAAGGAAGAACACTCCTTCAAGCCATACGAGACACCAATCTGTCTACTAGGAGCAGACTCCAGTTTTACAACACACGCCAAGGGCTCCTCCACAGTTCCGTACCCAGCTTTCCCTTCGGGCACTGTCACTGGCATGTGTGTTCCCACATTACGCCACAATCTCATCGCCCAATACGAGCTCCAACGGGCAGGCGTCACCACGATCTTCCCAGCACACTCGGATCACTGTGACCTCCTTGTCCCTAAGTCCAACAAGCTCCTAGCACGCTTCACACTCAACAGCAGCAAGCTCTACACGATGCGTTCACCTGCACCTCTCGCCGCCCTCTCTCAAGCGGAAGATGCCAGCACCACTCCGTGTTCCCGTCGCAGCTTCACCAACCCAACCATCCTCTACCATCATTGTTTGGATCACCCCAACTTCTGTACGCTTGCCGACATTGCTTCCAAGAAACTTCATCTTGGCCTCCCGTCGGCGCTTCCTCCACCAACAGACTCACCTGCACCCACCTGCCTGGACTGCACCAAAAGCAAGCTCAGGCAGCAGCCGCACCCTTCCTCCCCATCCGTCGCAGCTGCTCCGCTGGACCTAGTGCACATGGATGTCTGGGGCCCAGCTCCAGTCGCATCCCGAGGCGGTCATCGGTACTTTCTTACACTAGTCGATGACCACTCGCGGTATGTTTTCGTGCACCTCCTGCATACCAAGGCGGAGGCACCTGACCTTATCATGGCATGGGTGCGCCAGGCTCAAGTTACGTTCGGCACTCCTCTGAAGTGCCTCCATTCTGATGGCGGGGGAGAATTTCGCAATGGCAAACTCAATAACTTCTGCGCGGCCCAAGGGATTTGGCAAACCTTCATGCTCCCCGAAAGCCCGCAGCAGAACGGCATTGCAGAGAGCCGCAACCACACCTTGGTTCAAATCGCTCGCTGCCTCCTCAGTCACGCCAACGCACCACGGTCACTCTGGGGATATGCCCTCTTCCATGCGGCTCTCCTCTACAATCTTTATCCGCATCCTTATCGGCCCGACACCACACCTACCGCTCTCTGGCTTGGAGCCACGCCCTCCGCCCGCTCTCTACGCATCTGGGGGTGTACCGCATATGTGTTGCTCAGCCCCCACACGCGCAGGAAGCAAGGTGGCAAGCTTGGTCCCAAAACCCAGACCTGCATGTACCTGGGGCACAACTCCGATTCCCCAGACTACTTATTCCTCAACCCCATCACCAGACAGCTGATTCGCAGCTGTGATGTCGTCTTTGATGAGACACGCCCCTTCCACTCTGCGACCACGGGCGAGCCTCCTCCACCTCCCCCGACGCTTGTTTGGGCAGACTTCGATGCCCCACCTCTGGCCGCTGCCCCTTCTCCGGGGCCTTCTCCGTCCGGCGTGTCTCACCCGGCCTCCCCGCTATCCTCCGCAGCGGCACTCCTCCTGCTCCGCCTTCCCCGCGCGTCGAGCCTGGCTCACCAGTCTCCTACCGGAAGCGCCCAGTCACTCCGGTCCCACTGCAGCCGCCTTCGTCTCCGGTCTCTAGTCGCACTCGTTCCAAGGGACCGGCTCCGCCTCTCGCCTGGGGACCAGCCGCCTTCTCCATCCGGTGTTCGGTCACCCCGCCTCCTCCTGCCGGGGGTGATGTCCCCTCCATCCGTATTCCCCCCCGTGCACTTCTGGAGGACAGGCATGAGGAGCTGTTAGACCTTCACGCGGTCTGCCAATTTCTCTCTCACATCTTCCCGGACATTACTGACTGCCCTTCCCTCAACTTCACCGAGAACCCGACCATTCCGACTCCTCGCACAAAAGAGGAAGCTCTCCCGGGGCCTTATAAGAAGGAGTGGAAGGCAGCAATGGATGTGGAGAACGAGG